ATATTATCTTATTGAGAAGATAATTATATTTTATTATAAGTAAAATATGTATAAATTATCTTATTAAGAAGATAATTGTATTTTTATCAGAAAAAAATCTCACATATATCATCTTATTGAAAAGATAATTAGTTATATAATCTCTTAAAATTATAAAAGTTAATAACTACTATGAATATAATTACTATTACCATTTTAAAATAATTATATACGTATAATCTTAAAATGGTAATAATATATAATAATAATTGAAAATAATAAGTTAATAACTAAATTTATTAATAAAATTTAATAAAAGTTAAATTTTTTTCTATATTAAAATTATAAATTTTATTAAAAAATAATTTTTATTTTTATATTAAATAAAGTTTATTAATATAGTTTAATATATATATTTTTTCAGATTTTTTGGATTTTTTTAACTAATTATAAATTAATACAAATATTTTTATTAATTAAATTATATTTTAATTAATAAATATGTAACCTTCTAGTTATGTAATATAATATATTCAGATAATTTATACAAAAAAATTCAGAATATAATATTATATTTGAGATAAAATTCATATAGAAAACTAAATCAAAAGCAGATAAGAAATTATATTTTAAACTTATTCTTTATTTAATATTAATAGTATTTAAAATTATAAAATAAATATAATATTTTTAAATAATAAATTAATATTATATAAAATTAATAATATAATAAATAGAAATTAATAATAAATAATACTTATATGATAGTATCTTCAGAAGATACTTATTAATAAATAAATAAAGAAATAAATAATTATAAATAAAAAATATAAAATAAATAACTTATTAGTTATATTAGTAAAATAAGAAAGAAAAGAAATTCTACTAAGAAACTATCTATGACTAAAATAGCTTAATTATACTGTGTGACTTTTTTTGACATAATTGGATAATTATAATATAATAAGTTATATATAGTACAGTATGTAATATAGTAATAATCTGCAAAATAAAATATAAATTTAATATAATTATTCTAATTTGTTACAAGAATGAAATGATATTGCTCAAAATTATTATTAATTTCAAAGTAACTCAAAATATCTTTGTAATAATAAATATATAGAATAGTAATCAGCTTTTAAATTATAATAATACTTTAGTATTTCAATTTCTATTTTTGCATATAGAATTTTCTTTATTATTTTCATAATAGATATATAATAATCTTTATTAATATGATATTTGGTATAATATAATTAATGTTAAAATACTTGAAGAACATGAAATATATATAGGAGTTATATTAATTTTAGCTAATATATTCTATTCTGTACTTGAATTATCTATTAAAAAGACTATCAAACTAATATCAAAATCATGATCAAAGAAAGTATATTATAAAAGAAGAATTTTTAGCATATTCATTCCCTTCTCAATAGTAATCTCTAGTTTATTATATATCATGAAAATATCAAGAGATAGTATATCTGCTGTATAACTTGTATAAAATAAAGTAATTAATATATTTAGTGGCTTAAAGAAAGCTAATATATCTATATAATAAAGCTCTCCTGCTTGCTGAATTTTTTCATGAATCCAATATATTAAATTTATTATTATACAAAGAATAAGAGCTTGTCTTGAACTTGAGTCATATACTCAAAGAGTAGTATGATCAAATTCAGAGTTATTATAAGCATTAATTTCATTCATAAGTCTTTGAAATATTAATATATTATTCTTTTGCTGAGTTATCTATCATAATATTATTTAAACAAGTTTGATAATCAGGATTATATGCATGATCAGCCAAAAGCTATATAAGTTCATGATTAGTATTTGCACTTAAATGCAAATTATCTTCATAAGCATATACAGCTGATGCTGATGAATGTTCATTATAAAATAGTTGCATATATTTGGCACAAATATCATCTTTAACTTGCTGGAAGCTGAGAGATTCTGTAGAATAAATGATGTGATTATGAGTAAATTTAATATTAACTTCAAGTGGATGAGTTGTTTGGAGATATCAGTGTTCAAGCTAAAGATGAATAGTTACTATACATTTAATATTTCTGGCTCATGATGAATAAGGTCTTTTTGATATAGAATTTCCTGTTTTTGTTTTACTTTATTACTATGAATACAATGACATAGTTCCCAAAAAATAATCTTTTTTCCTGTAACTTGATAATCTTTTGTTTTAGGCATTGTCATCCTCAATAATTCCTTGAATTTAGCAAACCATTGCTGTATATTTTTAATACTATTAACATTCACAAAAAAATCCACTTCAAAATTATTAATTGAAAAACCTTCTTCCGTAATGCATGGTAAAAGTTGTCAAATTTAAAAAGAAGAATAATCATAGTTTGGTGGAAGTATAACTGTGATAAAATCAGGCAATGTCTTATTTATTGTGGATTTGTTTATTTTAACTTGATCTTGTATATTGAGCGAGCCATTATGAGATTCGCATACTTTGGCTTAATGTATATTGGGCGAGTTATTGTGAGATTCGCTTATTTTGGCTTGAAGTGTGTTGAGCGAGTTATTGTGGTAACATTCCTTGACAAGAACGTGACATTGAGTGGCGCTTTAAACGTTCTTAACCTCACAAACAATACATTATTCAATATGACCTTAATGAACACTTACCATTTCTCATGTTTAATTTTATGCCGAAAAACAATTGGCCAATAAATACATATATCCAAAATTTAGTGCGGCTAATAATCCGGGCTGATGATCGGACACCACATCCGACTAATGATCAACAAAACTTGGCACAGATTTCTGATGTGCATATATATATTTATATGACGTAAAATTTTGCAAGAATAGTTTTTCTAATTATATGCAATATCCCAAGATACAAGTTGCTTTTCAAAAACAAGCACTTTGCGATTAATTTTAAAGGGTAGATCCCGAATCGATCTAATCATTTTTGCCATTTCATTTTGATACAATACATGATTTTTATAAATACGTGCGGTAGTCGTTATAAAGATCCAGAATTTTGATCTGGTGCACAAAACGTCGCGTGATATTACTAAATGTTAAATAATATACCGTAAAGCGCTCTTTATAGTACCCCTGTAAAGATTAAAAATTCAAACCTTAATTTATTTCATCCTTTTTAATAACTATTTATTCGCAAATTAAAAATTCAAATTTCACAGTGCAATTTCTTAAAAATCTTTGAATTAAATTGAGATATAAATTGTTTACAGGGAGGTACTATACAGTTCGCTTTACGGTAATATTCCGGAACCGAACATAAGTTTCGTTTCCAACAGGACAACACTCCTATCCATAAAGCAGGTAAAATTTTTTTTGAAAGCTACGGCATTGGAATCCCCTGATTGGCCTTCGTACTCACCAATATAACCCAATCCAAATCTGTGGATGATACAAAAGGAAAAGTGGAAAAAGAAATAATTTATTGTTTTAATAGATTTCTGAATGTGTATATTTATTGATTTTTATAAATCTCAGAAGTAGCCATACTTTCTTTTTATTTTTTGAATCAATTTGGTTTACTTTGATCTCTTTCTGAGAAATCCTGGGTTTTATATGAAATGCACATTATTTTGTTGAATAAATGATTGAGTTTTTGAATTCATGGTAATAATATCATCACCAAACTTTGAAAATTGTTGGCTATTGATTACCAAGTTCCTATATATTGTTAAACATTTGATGGTAGCTTTCAATTAGTTAGCCAACTTGGCGATCGACATCATAAAAGTTGATCAGTTACATTTAGGATTTGCATCATCGATTCAAGATAATCAAATGATAATAAAATCCCTGTTTTGCAAGATATCGCGCTCCAAAGGAATTTTTGGATAATTTGATCCATTTCGTCCAAATGATCAATTCATGTGATTTTAACAAAAGTTAGATTCGTTTAGTCAAATGATATGCGAATCGGACCAACACATATGTGATCTGTCGACAAACCAAGATTTAAGCCAATTTTAGATATTAAAAATAATCCGGAAATGCTTTTATGGAAACTATATGTATGAAAGTATTGTTCCAGATACATGCATTTAAAGCAATATAAATGTCGTTCAGAAATCACTCATATGTTTTGGTATTTTTAAACGAAATCTTTTGCGTAATTCGGGTCGCTTGATAGGGAATTAATATTTATTAATTAATTATGCTACTAAAAAATTGTGTACAAAAATTGCGTAGTTTGCTGAAACAGGAATATAATAAACTTGAAATTTATCTAAATTGTAAGAAATTACAATATAATATAAACTTGAAATTTATTTAAATTGTAAGAAATTACGATATAATAAAAGATAAATCTGTTTGTATAAATGATAAATTTACTTTTAACAGCTATATAATCAGTACGAGTATCCGTGCTCTTAGTAATTCATATCAAAACAAAATATAAAATTCATATAATCACAAATAAAAAAAACACATTACTTGAATAGATTTCTGAATACATTTCAACAAAATGAAAATTTTTTTGGCCATTGTTTTTATTTCCTTCTTTATCGAAGCATTCGTCGATAATGCAACGTCCTCGCCAACATTATCGGATCTCAAGTCTGTCAGTAATCAAACCGTGCCTGGATTATCGAATCGCGATAATGCTATCCAACATACCGACCTAGAACCCAATGGATTCGAAGTTGCGGATTTACCAGGAGACTATGAATATGAAAGCTTACCAGAATATGAAGTCGCAGATCATTTACCGGGAGAATATGGTAATTTTGAAACTGGCATTTATTTCTCTCTTTAATATTAAATTCATTTATTTTTCTGTTTCTCTGTAAATAGAAACTTTTTCTGAAGTTGAACCAGAACAATATCGTCGTGGTTACGATGATGGCCGCTATCGCCGTCGTGGTTACGATGATGGCCGCTATCGCCGTCGTCGTTACAGTAGAGGATACGATAGAGGATATCGTAGAGGATATCGTCGAAGAGGTTATGATCGAATTTTGAATCGAAAGTAGATAGATGACTTTAGAATAAATTTTAAATATATAGATATTTTATCTATCAGCTATATATGCTTATAATAAATTTAATATAAATTTTTAAGTTTGATAAAATCGACTAATATGATATGTTAATTTTCTTATAATATACGAATTAATTGATACATATATTTTGACAATATTTAAAGCACTGGGATCCCATTATAATTACATTTTGATGTATGAATTTATGAGCATTACAATATTGCTTATTAAAATATTTGACCAATATATTAGACTTGCATCCATTATATACTTTTACTTATAAAAATCTTCCCATCTAATGAATTATTCACCGGTAACTACAAATTTTAATGATTAAATTAAGTTTTATGTTATGTTGTGTGTTGCAAATTAATGCAAATAGTTTCATAACATTAAGAAAGTAAGTTTTCTTGCGTGTTCTACTCAATTAAAGCTTTAAACGAAATCTTTTTAGATATATTTGGGATTTTATCCTACGCTTAATACTAAACCTATTAACAGACTAGCCTGCAGAACAGATATAAACCGTATTTTCCAAAACATGTACATGTACATGTTTCTGCAAGTAGCCTATCGTAGCTAAATATGTAGTATCGGTATCAACAGCAGCTTATGAACCAAACACCAATACAGTTTGTACATGTACATATCTTCATACCGAACCGATACTAGATAAAATAAAAATTAAAATAAAATGACGACCGACTTATTATTAACTTCGCATTCGAATAAATTGGCTAAATTTTACGAAAAGGGCAATTTTTGCGATATTTCGATAATTGTTGGTGATGGAAAAGATTTACAGACCTTTATCGCACATTCGTCTATTTTAATGGCGCAATCTCAATATTTTGCCGTCGCACTTTCCGATACATGGGTGAAAAAAGAGTCAAATAAAATGATTATGTTTAAGAAACCAAATATCTCGCCGCGTGTTTTTGAAATCTTATTGAGGTAAATAAATAATGACTTGTATTGATACATTTATTACAGTAAATAAAATTTTTTATGATGTAGTTAGATATATGTATTGTGGCAAAATCGACTTGAAAGAACATGGAGTGCCGACACTTTTAGACTTATTGATTGCTGCGGATGAGTTGGTTCTTGAAGAATTGCTTGAATACATTCAAAACCTTCTTTTGGAGCATCATATCGAGTCAATGACTGAAAATTTTTCCTTGATCAA